TACCTTGGCACTTCATGATGATTCGTCACAGGATGCATTTCAAGATACAAATCAGCCACTCAGAGTTTTTGTCTGCCTTACCAAACATGGAAGTGACACTAAAACCAGAATTCACATGCCTAATCCCACCATGATCGCCCACCCTGTCCCTATTGATGCCAAAGCCAAACATGCGAGAGAAGATATATAGAACAATGCAATGTTGGACAAAAACTATCTTACATGAATAGTCCATTGTCATTCTCTAACAGCTAGCTTCTTGTTAGGATCACCAAATGTACTACTGGAGAATCAAACTACTAAGATCAATGCAAAGAGAAACTACCATTTGAAAAGTAGGCAATGATAAAAATAATAATTTAGAACCTCATTATTTGTTGACACCGTATAGCAATTAAAAACACAGAAGATATGTGACTGCTAATTACTCAACAAATGCATTATGGAAGCTTAAGTTCCATCTGTAATACCTGCAATGTTAGGAGTCATCTTAGCCCAAATAGGCATCATGGCCTTCTCATTTATCCAACCAGAAACCTCCTCTAACAAGGCATGGTCCTGTCAAAGGGTGACACATTTTTCGCTCGGGCATGCCATGTTGGCATGAGAAATAATCTCAAGAGCATCCTATTTAACCAAAAATGTTTCCATTCCAAATTACTCAACGTATTCAATAATCTCATGACATGCAACTTTGTTGCATCCTACACAAATATTCTGTCTTCGGTTGCTAGAACTCATTAAGAGTTGTCTCGAGTGTCCGATCACTGATATGTTCAATGTTCTGCCTTCAAATGATTGGACTCCTGGTTGCTCCATTAGTTTCTCTGCGCCCTGAACTGTGCATATAGCAGGGAGTTAGGTTAACAAAATTTACAGCATCCAAGGACAGCTACCAGCCATAATTAAAACCAAACAGTTAGCCATAATGTCACATTACAAGACAAACCATTTGTGACATTGGTAAAATTGATGATTGTGTAGGTCCAATGCAGAGTGGTATCATCGATAGTCTTGTGCAGAATGGGACCAATGATGATGAACGACTTGAAAGAAAATGATGCCTCAAAATGTGTGCCAACACATCTAAAAAATATGTAAACTACAAAGATGACACGACGTGGTTTAGCTTTGCAACGGGAGAAAGATATCACACGTCCCTAGTCCAATAGGCAAACCATTGTAAAAATAGTAGCTAGTCCATAATTATTTAGTAAAATACTAACTGGCCAATTCCTTTGCAAAGAAATTAACAGGTTAATTCTTCATATCTTGTTAATAATTCTGACCTACAAAGAAAACATGTTGCTCTTGTTTTCAGCACGAAGTTACGTACCGGTACAAAGCACCCCTATGCATGTCCCAAAAGAACAATGCCCTATGGCGACATGGGAAATAACATGCGCCATAATGTAATTTACTTAATAATTAAGCACACAAGTCATCAGGGCATCAAAGAGAAGGCAAGAGAGATTTTTAGCTTATCTGCATCAGTACAGCTACACTAAAAGTGGCAATAACAAAGTATTTCAGCATTTAGGTTAGTATCTTGAAAAGGCCTTGCTTTTGACCTGGTGCTCCAATGCGTCTTTCATGGACTAAAAGAAACAAGAAGCCCATGATGAAAACACCCAGCAACACACAACTATTAAAGGGCCTATGGACTGATTCACAGAAGAGAAAATGCCGGACGTACTTTGTTTCCATGAGGGCCCTGCCGAATCAGCAAATGTCGGACGTATGGCGAACTCTGGCTGAGCGCACCGCTGAACACCATCTCCATTGTCTCCATGAGGGCCGTGCCGAATCAGAATTCTTGCAGTATCTCCAACCACGAGAATTCAACAGAAGCTGTGATGCAGATCCATCAACATCTAACTGAGTGGTTGAGGATTCGACATGTCATGATGATTTCTTACGGACATCATGATGAATAGTGATATCCATGCTATCGGTTAACAGTAGAAAAATATATTTTGAACCAAATACCTGCAATTATAAGAAAATTCGACCATGTTTAATAAAACAAATAAACAACTTCCAAAAATTTCTCAAAATTGTGGTTAATTAAATTCTGGGCATATGCTACCCCAACTAAATTCTATGGCCAAATGCAAGTGCAGAATTGGTGAAACAAATTAATTCCTACATTTTCACCACTAAACAAATCACAATTAGTCACACTGATCACACTCATACCCCTGGGTAGCTATCCAAACTGAATCTCCGGTCAGTTAATCACCAGAATTTACCAATTAAGAATTCAAAACACACTCACGCTCTCATTACTCCATGTTTGACGTGTAATAATAGTCATGATAAAAGACTTGGAATTTGCAGAGTAACATATTTCCCTTCTCGCCTACAAACACACTCATCCAAGAATTAATAGCTTAAATACCAAACTGGACTGTGCGTAGACCTAGCTGGTCTAATTGATGGGCTGAAGCCAAATGCCAGTGCGTTGACACGAAATCATAAAATATAGACACAATGATCAAATTATTCTTTTAATTCAAAAATATGTTATAAGCATGATGGCATCTGGTTTCCATCATACAACGACAAATACTTGTGCATTGGTATAGGTCTTCAATAAATAAAGCATTAGTAAGATAACACAAGTTATTGCATGTCTTCTACCTTTCACTCTCTTTGTCTATCACTTGGCTTCCATTCTCCCTTTCTCTTTCTCCCTCTCCACCTGCTCCTTGACACAATGCTATCACCATTGGTGAAGCTATGAATTAGGGATGAGTGCAACCAGAACAATTATATTATCATTAAGGGTTAATTGCAGAGTTAAACTGAATTCTGATTTCTAAATCATCAAATACAGAGTTGATTACAAGGTGAGCAAACAAAAATCAAAATTTACAAAGAGAAAAAAATCTAAAAGATATACAGGAGTAGCTAAATGTAACATCAGGAACCAATTCTCAAAAAGAGATTTAAGCTGCATTTTGGTACCTATGAGATCACAGGAGCAGGCCATCAGCGCTGACAGTTTCATTTTCATGGTTGAAGATCATAGCATTGCGTCACTTCGAGAAATCCGTACATTCCTCGAGAAATGATCCCAGGAAATGAATAACAAGATGGAGCATCAACTTCTGTAATAGAAAAATAATACAAAAGAATAAAGCTCTGAAAAAAAATCTTACTTGCTCACATTGAGAGATAAAACGATAGTGTGTTGTTACTGTCCAGGTTGACAATTATAGAGTCATCAATAGCAAGTGTAGTCTTAATTTATAGAAGGACAATATAAATCTTGTATATAGAACTCATTCAACAGGTTTAGGAGCCTAAATGTAAGAACATGTATTGACATATCTTTAGTATTATAAATGAAGATAATTTTATGGTCTATTGACGCCATTTGATAAATTAAAAAGAAGGTTCTTACCTGCCACTGGGATGTGAACTATTGTCTAGAATTTCAGATAACCATGCACAATATTTGGTCGAGTATCGGTGTGAACTCACACATGCACACACACACAAACAAAGAAGCCCTCGTCCAACCCGGAAATGAAATCTTGCCCACGCACTCCGCAGGCGAGCTCGTCCAATCTCACTGCCACTCCGTCTCCCTGGCTGCCGTCCTCCGCCTCCATCCCTCGCCTCTCCACCTCCCCCATCCCCATGTTGCTTTCATCGACAACCACCCATTGCCGCTGCCTTCGATGTGGTTACCTTCACCACTGCCACCGCATCACCTTGCCTCGCCATAATCTCCATGCCCTCATTGGTCACGTCCACAGATCAAATAGTAGGACCTACAAACTGGTTATACGCCCAAAAAGTGAGCATGCAAGATCAATGTAAAATCAAACAAGATTCTGCAAACTGAACCACATATAACTCCCATGCAAAGAAGGGTACTCTGCATCAGTTCCATAGTCACATGATAGACAATAGATACTGATTTCCAATCAGATGAGTAGACAATGTTGCGAACCTCCCCATGCGATTCTGCAAAGGGTTACAAAATCGTGGAAGGAAATTTGGGGAAACAATTGAACTCCTCCTAGAAAGGACAGAAATGACGAGTTAAATTATTTATTCTCAAGGGAAAGAATTCAGTAAGCTAATTAATACGTGCAATTGGAAATTACATTTTCTTTTCTTCTAAGGCACTCATTTGCTTCAGACAATATCTCTTCCTGCAAAATTATTCAGTGTACTGTTAGGAACAGTCAATTTTATATCTGAATAAATTTATGTGAGAAAATTTATGAATAGATAATATGATCAAATTTATTTTGTTAAGAGCATACCTTCCTCTAGAGACCAGTGAGATGAAGAAGCATCTGTTGTGTCTGCAATCGTGAAAATGATCAACATTTTGTGTCGTAACATATCGAGGACGACACACCCAAATTATCCCTAGCTTTTATGATGCATTAATTGCAAGGACAACTTACTGACGAAGCTAAAATCATCAGAAGTCTACACTTTAGCCAGCCCAAAATCACCTGTTTTAGACAACATATATAGTCGGAAACAGAAGATATTGCCGTCAGTTCTTTCAAGTATTTTTCATAGTAACTGATTTTATTAGAGTGTACTTACCGATCCGTATACTTTGGTCCTTTGTAAGAAATATATTTGAACACTGAAAAAAAGTACTATGCATGGTGAGCAACCGGCTAGGCTTAACTGAAATGAAATGTGAGTACCAGATAAAGGTTACAAATGTAACAACCTTGACATCTCGATGAAGGATATGATTGGCATGCAAGTAATTAAGCACCATCAGGAGCTGCACAAGCCACACACAGAGTTTCTGCATCCAGAAAAATTGGCATTGCAACGGGGCAAAATTCAGTAAGCGGAATTTGCGGCTACTGAACAAGACATATTACAGAGTAGTTGAGCACCTCCGAGAAATGGTTGCCCTTAGCCTTCTTAATGGCCTCTAGCCGGCAAATGCAGAGGGAAAAACAGAGAACCACAATTTCGTTACAGGTTCCAAATTTAGTTCAGAGCTCACTTCACAAGTTACACACATACATGTCCCCTCCCTCGCAGTAACCGATCACGATGCACACATAGCACCCCTGATGCCAACAACAAAAAACACTCATTTCAGACGTCGGCGGTCACATGAATCCTTCCGTTGGAACATTTTTTTTCTTTTTGAAATTTTCAGTAGGAACATTGAAACGTTGCAAGATAAGATCATAAGAGAAGAGGGGAGGACCATTCTTACCTTCTCCACCCAAGAATCTTTGTATTCCATGATGTAAGGGCTCCTTACTTTTGCGATGAGCTCCATCTGCATGAACAAAATGCCGAATTTCATCCAAAGGTCAAACAAACCATGCATCTAAGTTGAATGCTAACATGTGACATGGCACAAAATAGGGAATGAAAGAGACCTCTTGGTGCGCGGATCGCCGGCACCTGACGGTCTGACGGGCGACCTGGGTCTTCTTCAAGACATACCTGAAACAAGGCATACTTGATATTCAGAGATGGTCCAGGGATTGTGGAGAGCAAGCAAGGGTGGAATTGCAATGGAGTTGCACCAACCTCTTCCTCTCAACATTGTGCCTCACCAGGAGCGCAGAGCCAAAGGAGCCCTTCCCAATCTGCTCCAGCACCTCGTATTGATCCATCTTCTTCTTCTTCTTCCCTAATCTGATTCAGCCCAAATAGCTTCTTCCCTGCCAAGAATCAAACGGCCCTGCTCGAGGGGAGTTCATCTCCATGGGTGGACGCAGCGGCGCGAGGCGAGCACAGGAGGAGTGTTCTGCGCGCCCCCGGAATCGGCCGGCCTAGATGGCGGCGACGGAGAGAGAGTTGGGTGAGTGGGAGGGGCGGATCTGGCCG